TGTAGAGACAGAGACATCCTGATACAAGATGTAGAGACAGAGACATCATCATGCATGTTCTGGAGACAGAGACATCCTGATGCATGTTCTGGAGACAGTGACATCCTGATGCACGCTCTGGAGACAGAATCACTGTATTCAAAGGAGACACTAGATGGAGGCAGAGGAGCAGCAAAAGACAAAATTGAATAGTCTTTTATTTGTTAAAAAAATAATTTAAATCATGATTCTGCAGAAAATATTCATACAACTTGTAATTTGTCCAGTAAATCTTGATGTCTTATTGAAAATAATGATCAAAAGCTGTGATTTTTTTTGAGAGTAAACAATCCATCTGAAAAAAATCACATCCTTTATGTCCAAGGAAAATACGACTAAATACGTTTTGTACAAAACACGATCCACTGAGTTATTTATTATAAATCATCTCAACATTTTTGTTACATTTCACTTGATTTTAGAACTAAAACCTTTGAGAAGCTAGAAACAGACATCTGAGAAAAACCTTCATAATTCAAAGCATTTTTCCTTTTCTGTTGCTTATTATTCTTATTCCTTATCTGGAAGACTGAGCCCGGCCAGCCTACGAAGGACGCTCATATCAGCTGCTTGGATCCAGGATCTCGTTCATGACCCCAGCTGAGGGTTGGAACGTAGACCGATCACTGAACCCAGAGCTTTGACTTTAGACTCAGCTCTTTCTTCACCTTGACCGACTGAAGCAACACCCTCATTACTGAAGACGAGGCTCCGACCCATCGATCCATCACCCAGGACCAAGACGCCCAGATACTTGAACTCCTCTACCAGCTAATCAACATTAACTCAACTCAACTTTATTTTGGTAAATTAGCATTACAGAAAAAGGAAAACAATATAGACTACTTTTGACAAATCAACATTAGCCAAGATAATGACAATAACTCCGTGAGTTTTACAGAAACAGAGCAGACACTGAGTGGTAGTAGCTGAGAGTCATTCCCAACACATACTCCGAGCACTGAGTGATTGTTTCAGACCTCATAATCCTGTTTGAGATTACACAGATTATTATGATTTCAATGTAGAATTCTGTCCGTTTATGCCTAATTTTGAATGATAATAAAACACTGTAGTGAACTAAGCCTCAGGTCAAATCTGGCCTTGAGGGCCTGCCTGGAACAAGAACTGTATTTCATTGATTTGAGTCCAGAAACACAAGATTAAGTTCATCCAGAGACTTCCTAAGTGTCCTGCACTGATCAATTGAAAGAACACTCTCTTTTTCTATTATCATTATCATTTTACAAATGTTTTGATAATCAAAGTGTGTTTAGTTCAAACCATTTTTAAATGTTGAAGTGAACTACTCAATTTAAATCAACTGTGAAACAGTATTAATGAATTTTTAATCCTCATTCAAAGTAGGAATCAAGTTAAGGTCTGTTACAGAGTAATTATTCATTTTTCTTGATCTTCTGTCTGAGACACCAGTGTAAGTTGGTCAAAGGTCAAGTTTCGGTCAACTGCAAGTTTACTGGAAAAGAAATGTCAAGTTTAACTTTCAAAGGCAGATATGAGAGAATTGACTCCACGAAGTCTGGGTCCTTCAAAACATTTTCTGTCTGTTCTTAAACAAACTTAATCTTTTTCCTCGACTTTTAATAACCTCTTACATCACTAAAACCACCCCCTGTTCGGTCGATCGACCAATCAGGAAGTTCTCAAAATGAACCGGAAACAGAACTCCTTAAAGGGTTCAACACTTCCTAGTTCAAGGTAGAACGCTGGGAGAACGCTGGGAGAACGCTGGGAGAACGCTGTGAGAGTGTGGGAGTATGCTGGAATAGAGAATCCAGTGTGCGGAGAGAGAATGCAGAGTTCAGAATGCTAGAATGCAGAATGTTGGAGAACAACTGCAACTAAGCTGGACGAGAGAAGTTCAGAGGAACTATGAAGAAGTCTGTTCTGGGATGATTTCACGACTCCTGAGGTTTAGCTGTTCTTACGGAGACGCTGGAAGAGTTGAAAGGAAAACCCTACACCAACGCCGAAACTATCATCTGCAAAGGTAAAGAGTCGATCTCAACCAAAGTGTACCGTGGGTTAAGCTGCATCCAAAAGGAGCGTGTTGTCGTTCTGGGCTACAGACCTACATCTTATACAGATACATACCTCTTCACCCATCTCTCTCCATTTAAACTTCATTTCCATCTTTAAACTCTTCTATCTTGCCAGTAAATCAATCCAGATATTTTCAGAAATGTCTGTTGTAAAGCTGCAAGGATACCATGTTTATGGTTTCCTAGTTGTGAAGCTAATTAATTAAGCTGTTGTTGAAATCAATTTGCCAAATTAATGTAAATGTTTGATGTTAAACTTTGATTCTGTTAATAAATGACCGCATTCATTTGCTGGGTCAAAGAAAATTAACGTCTTGCGTCACATTTAATAATTCAATGCACAATATTATTCAGTCCAGAAAAATGAATGAATCCGTTTAATTTATGGATATATCACAGATATATGTTCATCTACAACACATTAAAATAATTGCAAGTATTTTGGACTCGTTTAAATCAGCTTAGAGGGATGAAAATTATCTACTTGAACTAAAAAATAGTTTAAAATGAGCAAACTGATATTTTCCTGGCAGTACCCATGCATGATCACTTGAAAACGGACACATGACGGTAAAACATCTAAACATTTACCCTGATTGATTAATCTCTTTTAAACCATTGTGATGTCAAGATGAGCGCTGTGTTTTGTGGAGTTTTATCATCGAGCACGAGTTCAGTGTGGCTCACATTTATGTGGCGTCACCAGCAGGTCCACCGTCTTCTGCTGCAGGTTGGGCCAAACCCGGTTGAGCTCCCTCTTCAGGTCGGCGTCGCACAAACGCTGAGCCAGGACGCCTGAGGAGGAACCCACAAACACGTCAGCGTAAACGACGCGCTCAGGTGGACGCCGACAGCGAAGCCGCAAGGAATCATGGGTGTTGGTCTCTCACCAGACGCCAGCTTGATGTCCAGGGCGGTTCGGATCAGAGCCATCAGCGTCGAGGTGAACTGAACCGTGTTGTCGTCGGCGATCGGCATGTTCATCCTCACCAAACGCTGAGAGGAACGGAGCAGGAGAGGAGAAACTCAGAGGCGACAAATTTAATTCCAGATTATTTAGAATTGATCATTTTCAGATTAAAAAACACATCAATCCAAAAGTTTAGAATAGTTTTTTGTCCGATTATTGAAGATGATGAAGTTCCTCTGGAGCTATCCTGATGCATGCTCAATAATCCAGGTAGAAAAATCTAAAAAAAGTTAAATCTGGTCCTCTGGACATTCAAAAAAAACAAAGCAAATCAACAAAATGGAGCTGGGCAGATTTATACAGACTGATACACCTTAGTTGATTTTTTAAATTTATTCTTTTTATTACTTTTGTCAGTTTTAAGCTGTTTAAGTGACCATTATGGTTTGTTTTATTTTTTTTTAATGATGGTACAAACTAATTTGTCCATGTGTGGATGAGTTTGCATTTCCAGGAGATTGACAGGGTCACATCCACATACATGTATTTACAATGACGTTATAAAAAAAACAAAAACAAATCTCTCTCTCTAAAAAAGAATAAAAAGTTGAGCCAGAAGTACATCTCAAATGAAAACGAGACTGTAAGTCTGCGAGAATCGGTGGTTTATTGTGATTTGATCAACAGGAAGTGATGATGGAGTGAAAGGGGGATTGAAGGGATAAACAAATCGTCAGCCTCGCTCTGAAGCGCTCCCCTGCTCTCCCCTGCTCTCTCCGAGTCTTGTTTGTGTCTTTCCCTGTCGATTCACAATAACCGGAGGTATATTTAGAGATCGCGTCAGACCCGCGCGTTTTTAACTGGGGCAAGGGCAGGCCCGCTTCGAATGTGATTCGATTCGACAGCTGTGCACAAGCAGGAACCACTCGCATTAAGTCTGCATGCTGAGGTGAGCGGCAGCAGACGGATGAACTACCTGAGAGCACTCCGACCACTTCAAGCTGGCGTCTTCACAACAGAAAATACTTGATCTTTGCAACGCACAACTAATTTCATCTCAATATCAAGAGTCTTGGAGACAAAGACCAAATTCTCCCCAAATTGTGAGAAAATACGAATTTTCAGCTGCGGACTGAACTCAAACTAAAACGGCAACGTGTTCCGAGCGGCCAGCTTCTAAAGGGCGCGGCATAATTTCTGTGCACGCGGCTTGTAAAGCTGAATTTTTAGTCTCCATCTTCTGTTGTTCAACCATAGTGGAGCAGCGAAGGCAACAGGTCCAGGAGAGAAACCCAGACCTCCCCCTCCTCAGTGACACTCTCCAGATCCTCCTGGTGTTCTCAGGCCAGAGAAGATAAATAATCCCTCAGGGGGTTCTGGGTCTTTACCGGGGCCACTTCTTGGTGGGACCTGCTTATAAAACCTCTAAAAGGAGGCGTTCAGGAGACATCCTAATCTAATGCCATGTTGTACCCACATCTGCAGCTGCTACTACACATCATTTGCTGGAATACACTTCAGAATGAAGACAGACAGTTTTTGTGTGAATGAAGTATTCACACTTTTGTGAGCCATTTTTCTTCTGTACATTCTCCAGCAACTTTCTTGTTCCACAATTTTTGTGTTATTTCAACAAATCATAAAACATTCGGCTCTTTCAGGACAATCCTGCTCTGACTTTAGGTATTGGTGCAGCTTTAGCTTTTTGAAATATTTAGCCTTTTCTGCCATTTTTCTTCTCATAGAAAATGAACTGGGCTCATTTTACATCCTTCAGATCTTTATATCTGTTTACAACCTTTTAAAAATGTGGTTATAAATATGGGGTAAAATAAATAAATAAGTTGCAGGTACGCTAATTTATGCAAAAACTGTGACTTATACAGCAAAAAATACGGTAAATAGAGCAAAAGTACTTGTTGCTTAGGAAAAGATCGTAGTTTAACCTTTTAAAAACTCACTTTGTTCCTGACACGAAATCAATGCACAACAGTCTCCAAACAAAGCAAAACATTACAAATAAGTACTAGTTTCTAAAGATTTATGAATTTTGTGAGTTTTTGACACTTGAATACCCAAACTCCAATTTGTTTACTGTTTTTGTCCAATTCTGTAGCATCTCTGATCTATTGTTTATCTGCAGCTGGACGGCAGACGGACAGGACGGCTCACAGAGCCCGACAGACGAGGCCACGGAGCTTCACAGACAGACAGAAACAACATCACAGCAAAGTGACAGAAGCCTGAGGACGGTTGGCAGGTGGAAGCAGGGGACCAGCAGCGGCTGAAGGAAAGGAGACACAGGCGACTCTGGGAGGACATTTCTTTCACAAACCTAACGGAGGGGACGTGTCGCGAAGCATCTCGTACATGTCGCGGTAAGCTAAACGGCCGCTTCCCTGGGAAAAGACTGACAGGAGGTGGTGGAAGCAGGGAGGAGGATGCATAAGGATGAACGGAGGAATGGGGTAAAGAAATAACAGGAAGCGGAGGATGAAAGGAAACACAGAAATCTTTGCTAATAAGATTTCCAGGACATCACGCTCTGGAACGCCTTTGCAGTTTAATGTGCAGCTGCAGAGGAAGACCGGGGAATACGCTCCAGCCTCCCTAATAAAGATGGAAGATGGGAGAAACCTGGTGGAAGATATAATCTGGTAACCAAAGCTTCATTTTAAAGAGGTGCCCCACTGAAAATATGCATATTCTGAGCGACTTTTATGGATTTATTTGATGATTTTGGAAAATAAAAGACCAACAAATGTGGAAAAATGTGCCAAATTTCTTGAAATCCGACCATTTCTTCTTGTTTTTTTTTTGTGTAAACGAGAAGCTTTAGACCTTTAGAGAGTTATTCCAAACTCAAAGAGCAGATTTTCAGAGGAGTATTCATCTCTGCATGCTACAAGTCGTCAGCAGTAACCAAAGCGCAAACGAGGCGCACGGTGCTCTCTGTGGCTCCTCTCACTTCATCGTTTCAAAGAAGGTAAACATTTGAGACATCCCATGCCTTCTGCCCGAGCCGGACTCGCTGCTTTGTTTCCTGCCCTCGCCATGGTTACGTGCCAGCTGGCTCGTACACGATCGATGGATGTTTGCATGCATGTGTGCTCGGGTCGTTCTCTGCCCCCGCACGGAACGACAACAGACATTCACAGCCCGATATCGTCACGGTCCCTTCGGAAACAACAGAGGACTGAGTGAAGAGTGCAAACCTTATAAGCCACCCTGTTGGGGCACTTCTTCCCCAGGCCCAGGGGAGGCGAGATTAAACGCAACAATTTGTACATATCCCGGTAGCATATCCTCCCACTGAAAAAGATGAGACAAGGTCAAGAGGTTAAGACAACAGACCCGAGCTGACTGCATCAGTTGGCAGGCCTGAACATTTCATGCAGTGGCTCCAAACTCTTTCTAGATTTTTCATTAGGTGAGGTTGTGTGGAGAGCCTTCGAGCAGCTGGTACCTCTGGAGTCAACCGTTCACTCCTGCAGAACACAGTTGACGTCAACTTCACACTGTATGGGTTGGAAGGTAAAAGTGTGCACTACTGATGCTGCTGAATGATCAGCAGTTACCTTGGTCCAATCCAAAAACAACACCCAGAACTCTGTGGAGCTGATGGTTTAATGCCAAGCAGCAGCTATCTTAACCTTTAGAGGCTGTTAGCTTCACTCTCGATAGCCACTAGCTTAAGTCTGATTAGGGATTAGTTTAACTCTGAGAAGCTAGAAGCCAAGTTCGAAGCAGCTGTTAGCTCAAACCATAGCAGCCATTACCTTTAAATTCTTAACTCTTAGTTATTAGCATAACTTTGAGTAGCTTTTAACTGAACTCTAAGTAGCTGCTATCTTACCTCTCGGAAGATATCTCAACTCTGAGTAGCTATTAGCTTGACTACTTTGTGAGAATTTTCTTGATTCTTCAAACTGACCTGATTCCAACCACTGTGTTCTACAGGTGAGATACTAAGTGCTCATATTTACTCCACACAACCCCACTAAAACACACAATACATACATTTAGGAAGCAACACAATAAAGTATCCTGCTAATAATCCAGGTGGATAGATCTAACATGGTTGAGTCAGGTCCTCTGGACTGGAACTGAACAGGGACTGAAGTAAACTTGATGTTTTTGGTGAAAAATATTAAAGTGGGTAGGAGTTGCACTGTGGAGGAGAACAGAGGTGGGTGTTTTGTTTTTTTGTCCGAGGCAGTGCAGAGTGACGTGTCCGGGTGAGGGAAGGAGACATTTTATCCACCACCTGATACAGTGGCGGAGCCAGGAGGTGGCCGATGGTGGCCTTAGCCACCACAGATTAATCTTTGGCCACCCCTATCATTTGAGCAAACTATACTTTAAAGCGATATAAAAGCTAGAATGGTTTCCTCAAATGATCGGGGTAGCCAGTTTACATACACACACAGTGTATATGGTGGTGGCCATGTTGGATTTGGCAACCCGGTGTTTGACAGTGACCTTACTGCACCTAGGAGCAACTGCACGTCATAAAGGAAGTCAGAGCGTTGCTTATTTTTAAAGTTATCCAGGTTTACATGTGTACATATAAGATGGCAGCCATCTTGAATGAAGAGGTGGCAACCAAAATTTCAAAAGGAACCTTTCTTAGACTCGTACGTAGCCATAAACCAAAATGGAAGTTGATGCCGCACGTATTTTTCAAGTTATCGCGCCCACGACATTCACAGACGGTATTTTCAATTCCTGCTTTTCGCTTCACGAGGGACAAAAATCAACTCTCTGAAAATCTGAAACAATTTTTCCTCAAGAATTTATGTTTGCTAATTTATGTATCAGACCCTGGTTATGAAAAGCAGAGCATGATACTGCCACTACCATGCTTGACAAAGGAGTTGGTGTTCTGCAATATGCTGTCATTTTTAATTTTTTTTAATAATCGACCCCCTCTCAACAAAAAAGCATGAATAAAATGCCTGCTCTTAAAACCGTTTCCAATTTTCTCCATTTGTGTGAAAACAACTAAAGACTGAAAGTCTTGAAACGATGAGGCTTCAAACGTTACAGCAGGTGGAGAAAAAGGCTGGATTTTACCTCTGAGAGCAGCTCGTTAATATTCAGAGGAATAAATTATAAATCCTCCTCCGTAATGTCTGTCAGGTGACGGCAAACTCTTCTTTCACTTCTCACACCTCTGTTGGAGTTCTGACGAGCTCGCTGTGAAGCCTCCTTCAAAAAATGTAATGAGCCTAACGTAATCTGAGACAGATTAAGTCCGAGTCAAAACTCGCATTCTGCTTCATATGAGTAAACTACAAAGAAAGGGAAGAGAGATGTGCCTGATAAAAAGAGGCGTCTTCCTGAACAGAGCCTGTTCTACCAGAGGATGAATCTGAGAGGACATCGAGCAGAACGCTGGATTTACATGAACGGCTTCAGCTCGTCACCAGCCTCTCGGATTATTCATCCTCTGGTGCAAAAAGCAACGTTTTTACCGGCTTAACGTCGGAGTCGTCCTGGCAGAACCCAGAACCCAACGTGGGAGTTTCCCGTTTTAAAAGCAAACCTCGGGAACGCCGAAACCGTCCGACGCCGGGCGGAACACAACCGGAGCAGAGACACCTACCAGGCAGCGGGGTCGTACTCTGCCCACACTCGGATGAACTCATCGAGGTGGTGAGGCCCGAGGATGGAGGCGTCGCGGGTCAGGTACTCAAAGTTGTCCATGATGACGGCCACAAACAGATTCAACATCTGCAGGACGAAATCACGAGGACAGAATTAAATATTTATTTAAAACAGATAAAAACATCACCCTAAAACTGACATTTACACCTGCCCAGGTCAGAAAAATATCACAATTATGTAACTGTTCGGCTTATAATCTACTGCTTTTCTCAGGTTTTAGACAAATATGTGTGTTTGTGCATTTGTTAATTAAATCCATTCATATGTGTTTATATATTTTTTATGCAAAGTATTATTTGTACAATTATCCTCTTGTGTAGTTTGTAAAGATTTTTGTGTATGTATATTTTTATATATTCATGCTGCTATGTTTCATGCTCATCTGCTCACAGGCTCATGTTCGTGCTGCTGTTCGGCATATTGTTTTTATGCTACTAGTGTTTAGTGTATTTTTAGACCCTGTGTACACAATTTCATTCCACCACATGTACCACATGTGGTGCGAATGACAAATAAACTCTGACTCTGATATGTGTGTGTGTGTGTGTGTACATACGGTAAAAAAAATATTTTTATAATTTAAGGTTTAATTTTCCATATTACAGTAAAAAAAAGATCAACTAAAAAAGTTGCTTAATTGCTTTGATTATTGAACAAACTGCTTTCAAAGGTAATATAAAAATAAACGTCCAAGTCTTATTTATTTATTTTGCTTTACTAAAACATTTTCCTCGCTAAAAGTACAAAAATAAACTTAATATTTCTCTCAAGCAGGACATCAGACTCAAACCCCGACGGGAGAACCGTCTGAGTCCCTGATACTGACCAGGAAGGAGCAGAGGAAGATGAAGGAGACGAAGTAGAAGTAGGCGAAGTCACTTCCACATTCCTTCCCCGAAGACCCTGAGAGTTTATCACACGGCCGGTTACTGAGGCAGGCCAGCATGATCTCGTGCCACGCCTCACCTGTTGCACTCCTGACAAACACAAATCCCAGTGAAGGAAGGTTGGAAAAAAAAAAAAAAGTTTTGAGTTAATCTGAACATGCAGTTTGCAGAGCACCTGAACAGAAGGGTCAGGGCGTGGAAAAAAGTTTGGAAGTTGTTGTGGTGATTTATGGCGGTGTCGTCGCTCAGCTTGATGTTACCGAACACCTGAGGAGAGCAGGTAAACAAACGACAGATTCATTATTGATTCAAAGTAGCACGTCCTCCTCTTTGTCACCACACTTACGTTGAGCGATGAGTCATTTTGACGTTCTGGAAACATTTGGGATGGAGCAACATTTGAACCACAATGTCATCATCCAGAGTTCGCTCTTGAAGCAGGTATCTACCAACACCTTTTAACTTTGCAAACTTTTGCTTAACTCTAGCTGTTAGATTTCCAGTTTTTACATCGCATCTAAAAGAAACTGAAATCCTTTTTTTAGACGAAAGGCGAAATGTCTTCAAGAAACAAATGAGTTCAGTTGATTCATATTTCACTTCTAAGGGACATAACTAAAGACTGTTTAATTCCATTCCTTCCTTTTGTGACAAGATGCCGACACGCCACAGTAAATAACTCGTGTTTCGGAGCTCCAGGTTCTGGTTGGAAATTGCTCTCGCTTTATCTAACGTAACTTCACCACCGGCTCCTGTCAAGGGCGGACGCCTTTCCCTCCCCTCTCCCTCCTCCACTTTACTTTTCTCTGTCCTGTCTGTGAAACAGCTTCAGAGCTTCTCTCTACATATCTTCTGAGCCATAAATTTTTGCTATGGATCTAGTCCGTTGGTCTCTCAACGCAATTGATAAAATTTTCTAGACGAGAAGACAAGCGCCAAGGACGCATATACAATTGGATTTATGATAACTGGTTTCCTGCTTTGTGGATTCGGCTGGTTCCTGGACTATCAACAAACATGGAAGTCGTCGGCAGCAAATTTGGCCCTGGTCAGACTGCCTGCATCTGTCCACTTAATTTGGACGTTTGGGATTCATGAGGACCAGCAAAAACTCGAGGCAGACATGAATCAGTAAAGTTCTGCCTGTTCCCAAAACAAATGTTTATCTGAATTTGGCTGGCCTTGACTGGCCACCTTATCTCAATTTGTCTGGAGGCCCTGTAAGTCGACGCTCTGAGCGCTCCCTTCCCCTCCAACCGAGGACGTCTGCGGACCCATCAGAGGGGCCTGGCTGAATAAACATTGTGTCATCATTTCAGGACTCTCGGATTCTCTCTGGTGCTGTTCCAGGTCGACCTTGGCACTGAAAGTGTTTATGGATCTCACCAGAGGGAACTGATTGAATGTACGATTCTTATCAGAACTCCTACAGCGCCTCTGGAGCGTCCTTGACATGATCACCGCTCTTGTCGTCTCCCCTCCCCTGCAGAATGTCTACGTCACTATGTGCGGGGTGTTTTTTTCAATATCAGGGTCTTTCTCCTCGGTCAAGGAGAAAAAGATAGGAATTTTTTTGTGCCTCCAAATCCATGACGTGTCACTTTCATTATTTTTTGTCCGTCTAAACAGGTCTCACTTGTAAATGAGTCTTCGAGGCTCATTGTGATTTATGTGTCTAAATAAAAGTTGAAGGAATGAAAAAACTGAGGATGATGCCGCTCATAACACCTGAACTGCTTTGCTTTGTCTCCTGCCAAAAAAAGGACTTGGCGTTCACAGCTCTGCTGGGCTGGAGGCTAAAACTCTGCAGCTCCACCTACGTATACAAGCTGGATTTGGGAGATCTTTTATTTATTTAAGATGGAAAATATCAGCTTGAGTTCATCTGGATTGTTTGAAATAAACCGTAATCCCGTTGTGTCCTGTTAAAGGTGCAGATCATTCTCAGCTGAAGACCACACTGATGTAGTTTGATGTATGTAATGTCTTTTATTTCTTATATGGCTAGGTGCTGGGGTGACGGGATGTTCACATAAAATGTTGAAAATTAAATTTAAGAAAGCTTAAAACATAAGCATGCAGAGTAAATAATCCAGAGGTAGCATTTGTATATGATTAGGTGCTGCAATGATGTAATAGAAAAACGGTAACTGTGTTAGAAATAAAGGGAACACTCGTTAACATCATCCAGGCTCTAATCCAGGCTCTGGATCGACATCTGTTAGCTTCCTGTAAAATACGAGCTACTAAACAACAAAATAAGTTATAAAACAGAAGTAAAACTGCAAGATAACTAAAGCCTTCTCATACGCAGGTCTATGAAAAGTGGAGGAAATTCAAAGTCATTTGTGGCGTTTCAAACGTGGTTCGGTCCAGCTCGTCGCCTCTCACCTGCATCCCGATGATGGCGTAGATGAAGAACAACATGGCGATAAGCAGGCAGACGTACGGCAGGGCCTGGAAGCAAACACAGATACGAAGATGAGCTCCACTGCAACACGCTTGTTTAACCCGAGCAGTCGGCTCAGCCATCGGCCACTTTCAATCGGCTGTTTATAAAGAGGCGAACGCTCGTTGTAATTCAATAGCCACCTTTTCAGACTGCAGCAACTGTCCGTGTTTATCGGGCTTGAAAGCTCTCACCACTGACATTAAGCCCGCTATAAATCCCCTCGGCTGCTGGCCTCGGCGCACCACGCACAACCCGACCCGTCTCGGGGGATTTGGCTGTGCAGAAAATCCCAACCGCTGTCTGCCGAGAGCCACTTAGTTCGATTTTAAGAGCCACGAAGGGATCCAGCAGCGTGTTTGCTCCAGCCTCCGCTCAGACGGCTCTTATTTTTTATCAATGCGATGGACTCTGTTTATTTCACAGTAAATCCGTTCCGCTTTGAGGCCTAACTTTGTGCCATTCCAGAATTAAGTGCGTTTATGTGTTTCTCCAAAACGAACACGGTTTACTCGCTCATTAGTTTGCCTCATACTCCTACATACAGATGTGATGCTTCTTGTAAGTAAAAGGAGCAACTATCGCTCTGCTGGTGACCAGAATCATTGAACTCTCAGCTCGATCGGCTGTTTAAACGTTCAAAAGTTTGATTTTTTTATATATCCCTGATCCATGGACAGACTGAAGCAGAGCAGCTAATTTAAGTGTCAATCATCCATCAGTGAAAAACATTTAAGTATATCTGTCTTTGTGCATGAGGCATAAAATGCTACCTAACAAAGATTAAAAGTATAACTTTAAACAAAAATGTTGCGTAATCAGTACTTAGAACGAGTTGGGATGATCCTCAACTACTACCACTCCAAATTTCAGCTTTTGTAAAAATGAAGGAGTCATGAAAATTACTGTGTTTGCTAAAGTCCATTAGCTGTGGAGGCCATCTTGAATCAGTTTAACTCCAAAGGGTAACCAGTTGTAGATGTTTATCCATTGATTACTTCCAGAGAATTATTAATGTTCATCCACTGGTTCATGAGATATTTTGCTAACAGACAAAAACAAAAAAAATAAACAACAACATTGATACAATTAATGTTTTATTTGTTGTGCTTATCAAGCTGTAATTTTCCATTCACACCGACAGAAATTAATACTTTACAAATATCTAACAGTAAATAAGATTTACTTCTCTTGCAAGTACTACTTTGGAAACTGCTGTGATTTATTTTATTCACATTTTAAAACGAAAACTGTGCATTTTTGTGTTTTAAAGTGTGAAATTTATATATATATATATTATTTTATATGCTTTTATATATATTAGTTATTTTAGACCAGACAGAAGCGGTACGCCATCGCCCCCCCCCCCCGAAGTAGATTATTTGTGGATTTGAGTTTGAGATTAGAATGACATAGATAGAAAGTTCTGTAACGTTTTGTGCTGTTTTAGTAAAAAAGATAATTATATTTCAATTTAATAAAAACTAAAAAAAACATAATAATATAGTATATGTATGCTGTTAACTAAAGTTTTCAAAAATAAATTGGAACCATCAATGCAAATGTTCGGGACTCGGAATCGGCTTGTAAATCATCTGTAACGGTTACTGACCTTGAACGACTGAACAAACGTCCACAGCAGGATGCGGATGGTGTAGCCTTGTCGCAGCAGCTTGATGAGACGAGCCGCTCTGAACAGCCTTAAGAAACTCAAATTTATCATCTTGTTCTGAAAAAATAAGGTTTGAAACGTCCGTTCTTTGAATTATGTAAAATATTTGGGCAAATTAAAAAGAAAAGTCTTAAGAATCTGGTTTGTAAATTTCCCAAACATTAATAGTTTGATGCAATCAACAGGTGCTTCATTTAAACTATTGTTTAACTTCCGTCCCTTTATTTTTACTCAACCTATGCACTAATGTAACTAGTTACAATCAAAGTTGTCACAGATTATATATTGTCTCGAACTGAAGGTTTAGCATACACGTTAACCTAAGACCCGATGAGAGAACGACACACGTGCTGAAAGAAAACTGAAAAAAAAAAAAAAAGGATAAACAAATTTTAAATCAGCAGGCAACAAGAAAAGCCACTTACCGTCTAGAGGTGTCAGATGTGACAGAGTGAGGGCACAGGCGCCAGGAAATGACAGAAACAGCCAAACAGAAATATGAAAGGAAAAGCAAGAAAGGAGACAGAAAAGAAGGCGAATGAAGAGAAAAACACAGAAAGCTGCAGGAACCTGCCTCAGTGCTCAGTCGACAAAATTAACAACATCCAAAACTGGATCCGAGATGTGGATCTCTCATGAAACTATTAGAACTGGACGCACTTCAAAACAAATTTCAAATGATCTATATCATGCTGTATTGTACTTTATTAGATTATATGGTATTGTATTGGACTTTATCGTACCACAATGTATTGTATCGTCTCACACTGTTACGTATCGTACGGTATCAAATTGTACCGTTTTGTGTGGCATGGTGACATACTGTATGGTATAGTATCATATCATACAGCATTGTATTATACTTTTATGCATCACACTGTACTGTACTTTATCATGCCATACTTTATTTTAGCACATTGTACTGTATTGTATTGTACCATACTGCATTGTATCATATCGTATTGTACTGCTATGTATCATACTGTAATGTATTGCACTTTACCATGACATACTGTTTTGTACTGTATTGTATCATACTGTATTGCATCATATCATATTGTACTGTAATGTATGATACTGTATTGCATTGTACTTAAACATACAATACCGTATTGCACTGTATTGTATAGTGCCATAATCTATTGCGTCATTTCATAATGTATTGCATCATGTCATACTCTACTACATCATACTGTATTGTATTGTACTTAATCATGCAACAGTGTATTGTACTGTATCGTATAGCGTCATACTGTACTGTATCATACATTGTACTGTATTATATCGTTCTGTATTGTCTCATAGTGTTATGCAACATATTATATGATATTGTACTGTATTGTATGTGCCATACTGTATGACAGTATCATATCGTACAGCATGGTATCATAATTTTATGCACCATCCTGTACTGTATTGCACTTGACCATGTCACATGGTATTGTATCATACTGTATTTTATTGTATTGCACTCATACTGCATTGTATCATATCGTATTGTACTGTTATGTTATACTGTATTGTATTGTAGTTAATCATACTATACTGCATTGTACTGTATTGTATAGTGCATACTGTATCGTATCATACCACAAAATGTATTGTACAAGATTGTTTCACGTCGTATCATATTGCATTGTATTGTAGAGTACTGCATGGCACTTTATTGTATTATTTTGTACTGTATTGTGTCTTACTGTTTTGCATCTTGCTGTGTTGTACTGTAATGTATCATATTTTACTGTTTATAACATAATATTTTGTATATAGTTTCATATTGTAATGGATCATAATTTATTATGTTCATGTTTAATTTTTATTTGTCTTGTTTTGTGTTGTGTTGTTTGGCTGCTCTTACGTTTATTTCTGTGAACAAAATGTCTGTGATGGAGCCGATAACAGTCACAAAGTCAAACACATTCCAGGGTTCTTTCAGGTAGTTCTGAAACACAAAGAAGACACAAACATGGAACAAAATCTGACCAGATGAAATTTCATTTAGTTTTCAGGTCAATGCAGATTAAATAACAGCAGATTTAGCTTTAAATTAAAAGTACAACAAAATACAATTCAGTTCTGTTTTTGAAATATATGAACTGTAGAAAGACACGCCCTCAGAAACACAAACCCACACACAACATTCACATCTAAAACACATTCTCTAAACCAACTATAGACTGAACCTTCTATAGATGTCCTAATGTGCTGAAAGATCGGTCATTCATCCGGTTTCTGATGCTGCAGGCCCCGCAGTTATTTTGTATTTTGTCTTCGAATGGCTTTAGCAGTAGAGCATTTAAAAAGGCAGATGTGAGCGTAGCAGCTGAACAGGTGGAGGTAAGTGGTGTGTGAGAAAAGCCATTTAATAAATGGGCTTTGTAAATGGATCAGAGCCGTAGATGAAACACCTCACTGCAGACCAGACGGCACCGCGACAAGATTTATATTCCCTCCTGTCAGCTCACTCCAGAATTTAGGTTGAAAACATCTTAGCATAATAAACCTTTTTTTTTTTACATTTACCTTTAGACAAGAAAAAAGTATGACTTGAAAGATGTTAACTAATTTGAGGTAAAATCCTGAAATTTATGAAGATTCAGAAGATTAATTTGTGGTTTTAGTGTATTTAAAGTAGATCTAGAAGCAGAAAAGTGATGAAAAGTGAGAATTTGTACCTTTACTGGTTAAAAACTTTTCAGTTTGTTTACTTATAAACCGCTAAATGTTGTTAAAAGTGACATTTTATAAATCCAGGAAATAGACATTAAAACTCTGATTTTAGGAAATTTTGGGGGAAAAAAAGAAAAAAGATGACGAAATGTAAAGAATAAGAACATTTAAAAAATATGAATGTAAATAAATGCACTTGGAGAAAGATGCTGTTCAAACATGCAAATGGGATGTTACATTTTTTATGAAAATTTAACAAAATAGTTTAGGGAAAAAAATGCATAAGGATAAAAATCAAGGATAAATATATTGATAAGATAAAATAAATAAAATGAAAAAATAATTTTAATTGTCTTTTTTTTGTTGCATTTGTTGGCATTGGTTAAAATACTATAACATTAAAAACAATTATACTTGCATGAACCATTATTATTATTATCAGAATAAACTTTATTGTTATTGCACCGAGACACAACGAGAACATGTACGTACAGTCGTCCAAAAGATGGGCGCGCACGAAGCTGCTGCTATAAAAAGCACGACCCTCATTATTATTATTCAGAATAATATTTTGCTTAGACGAGAAAAGGGAAGAAAGCACGAGGAGAGATGGTATAAAAAAAAAAGATGTCTCACGCCGCGTCCTAGACAGAGCACGATTTGAGGCATCAACAAACCTACCACAGCAAAGCAACATAAACAGACGTGATACGTGAACATAGAGGCCGGAGAAGACGTTGATTTTTAAGGGAAAGTCGTAGCATAGTCCAGTTTCTGCTTTCTAAAGTCTCACTGGTTTATATTCCTCTGATGGAAACTCCAAACAGCCAAACTGATCCTTAAAAGTCGAGCTCACAGCTTCTCCAAGATTATTCCCAGCTTCATGTGTGCTGCTAGAGAGTCCACAGTCCTGATGGCAGCTGCACCAGCTCTGACGCAGCTGCACATAATTCAGTCTGAGTGCTGCCGAGCTTCGACACAGCCTCACGAATTTGTAGACGATCCACAATTCACCAAGTCAAACTGTTGTCATCATGAATCCAATTTGTTTCTGTCGTGGTAAGAGGGTCCTCCTTACCCTGACTCCTGTCAGGAGAAGTTGATCAATTTTGTTGAGAGACCAGCTGATCCTTCACATTAAAAAGGTAAGTAGGAAAAAAATATATATATATTTTTTTACCCTTTTGTTGGTTATAAATTATTCATTTCAACTTTTCATAAACTGAAGGTAACTTTTGAAGCGTAAAGTTAATTACGTCATATTTTAGCTTGGAAACGTTTGAATCTTTAGGCAAATGAGGATTTAAACTCAGAGGTTTTCCTCAATGTTTTAAGCTTCACTCTTGCTTGAAGCGTGTAGCGAACTTCTTTTGACCCAAACAGAAAAGCGCTGAAACAAAAAGCGTTTGCTGCACACCATAATAGTCCTAACAGCTCACCAGAGGATTGAAAGCAATAATCTTCAGGATGCACTCCAGCGTGAAGAGGCCGGTGAAGATGATGTTCAAGTACTTCAGCATCGACTCGTAGGCCACGGGAGCGTCGTAGAACTGAAGACAGAAACACAGAATCTGAACGCAGACACTCTTTAACACCAAGCGTTTACAGATTTATCACCATCTGGAAGATTTTAACAATATGTTGAGTCCACATTGAAGAAAAATCTGGTGAAAAAAGTGGATTCAGTGTTGCTTCAATTCTACGATTTAAAAACAAGAAGTAAAACGATAAAATATATAGACATCAGTCTGGACAAGAAAAGACCTCGTCTAAAACTGGAACTTGATCTGTGACCTTGACCTTAGAGCTGGGGCGATGAAACGATTACAGACATGCCGTGTAATGGTGGCATGAATTTGTATCAAGTTTTGTTAAATTATCTTGAGCGGGATGAGGTTCAGAAGTTCCAAATGTGAAGTCATGGTCCTCAGTGAGAAAAGGGTGGATTGTTCAGGTCGAGGGTGAAGTTCTGCCTCAAGCGGAGGAGTTCAAGTATCTTGGGGTTTTGTTCACGAGGTGATGACACAATAAATCATTAAAGGTTTACAAATTAAACGTTCGTGTTCGCACACGACCAATTCACTGCAGCCGGGGAGAAACCAGAACTGAAACACCATCACACCCACCACCCCCGTCACACGGTGCCCCGACCTCCCAGGACATTTGTTTCATATACAAAAGAACGGAAGACAGAAAGAGAGAGGGGGGCAAGAGAGAGGAGGGGGAGAGAGAGAAAGAGCGAGGAGGAGAGAGAGAGGGAGGGGGAGAGAGAGAAAGAAAGAGGGAGTTAGAGAGGGAAAGGGGGAGAGAGAGGGAGAGAGAAAGAGAGAGAGAGAGAAAGAGGGAGCGAGAAAGGGAGACAGAGAGAATTAGAGAGAAAGAGAGAAGGAAGGAGAGAGGAGAGAGAGAAAGAGAGGGAGATAGAGAGAGAAAGAGAGAGGGAGGGAGAGGGGGAGAGAGAGTGAGAGGGAGAGAAAGAGAGAGAGGGAGAGAGGGGGAGAGAGAGAAAGTGAGAGGGAGAACACTATACTGT